CTGCATACAAAGCAAGGTTCCTGCCACTTGGCTGTAGCCTGTCCCTAATTTGTATCCCCAAATAAGAATAGGATGTGAACCTACATCCCATGGAAATCTTCATATTTTAATCATAAATCTCATGTATTCTGGGACTGGGGGAAGAGAAAAACGTGCAATTTTCGGGACTGTGCCCTGAATGGTACCAATAAAGGTACAGAAGAGAAATATCATGGCATGCCTGAATCTAGTCCCTTTTTCCCTTCCCTTTGTCACATGTTGTGGAAGCTGGCAGGTGATGTGGCATCATCACAGCAATCCAGCATCAGCCACTGCCATCACCAGCAATACAGAGCAATGGTCAGCACTCGCTGCATGATGCGTCGTCACATCGAGTGGTGCGTGACCCTAAATGCTGTGAAGGGTCAGGGACCTGTAGACATCGGGATGTTGACTTCAGTGGATGCCATGTGACTTCCCAACATCCAGGGATGTAATACAATTCCATTTTGGTTGCCTTTTCACCAAAATGTGCCTTGTTCTCACCCTCCAATGCACAAGCACTGCTTTGGTTTCTTTTAGGCAAAGTTTACATCTTCCTGAGTTCGTAATCCCATTTGCAAAATGGGTTCATTAGAGGAAGGAGTACTTCAAAAGCACAAATTCAAAATATTCATCACTGTTCATGCCTTCTTCAATGGGAGAAGCACCTATTTGGTGCATCCTACAAACCAGAACAAAACAGTGCCCTCAGGTGTGCACTTTTCCTTATCTATCAGCAGTGACAAAAGCTCTCATTTGGAAATGGGAGTGAGGACCAAGCTCCATTGTGCTCCGTTGTGTGACTTTGAGAACCTCAGTGAGCACTTGTTCTAGCCTCACCAATTCTCCTGCCCTCCCACCTTCTGCTTCGGTTCTGCCGTGTGTTATTTTAGTCTAGATTGGTTTTCTTCAGCTGGGTGGCCTCCAGATGTGTTGGAATGCAAGCCCTGATATTTTATTTTTTTATTTATTTTCCGATTTATATCCTGCCTTTTTCCTACAAAGGGCTCAAGGCAGCTTACATCTCCTCCTCCATCTTATCCCCACAACAACAACCCTGTGAGGTAGGTTGGGCTGAGAGTGTGACTGGCCCACAGTCACCCAGTTGGCTCCATGGCTGAGTGGGGACTAGAACCCAGATCCTCTGAGTCCCAGTCCCACGCTCTTAACCACTGCACCACACTGGCTCTCATAGCTGTAGTTGGGCAAATCTGGAGTGCACCAGGATGGGGAATGAATTGGTGAATATTAGCATGCCATAAAAAGGTGTGGTTTGGGGGACATGTTGTGCAGCATCCCGTTCTCTTCCCCTGTGATGCTGGATTTGCACCTGAGATTCCTGGAATCAGTCCAGGCAGAGGCACACTGCCTTTCTCCTTGTGGAATTGGTATAATAAGCAGCATCGCTCCTACTCATACCCAAGGGTTTCTTTCAGGTCCCCAGGATGGATAGCACAGGCCTGATGCTCTTCAAAGGACTTTCAAATCAGCACTTCCTCACATTAAAAAGCTACTGCAGTTAAAGCTTATCTCAGCTTGACTTTTACCCAGATCCCTCTTAAATCCTTGTAGTTCAGCTTAGGGAGGATGAGGATCCGGCTGCGAGTGCCTTTGCCCTTCCTCCCCTTAACAACAATAAGGGATTGGAACAAATCTGTAAATCTGGGTCAGTCTGCTTAAAAAATAGTCTGATGTGACAAAGGAAAAGAAATCTCTCAATCATCTTTTTCTCTCTAAGACTTTGCATTGCATATGTCACTGTTTGCTTTTACTGAGACCTTTTGCTCCTGGATACTGGTTTTTCTTCTCATCTCACTTCGTTCCATACTCACCTCCAAGCTTAATATTCTGCTCTGTTTCAAAGTGAAATAAAGGGATCAAAAAAAGGCAAAGTCATCCCTTCCTCCATCTTCTCTTGGCCCTAATGGAAAGGTACCTGTTGCCTCTTTCCCCAGCCGAATACAACCAAAGCAGTGACATTTCCACAATGCTCAAAGGGCCTTTCATGACAACAGGGGTGGGTCGGTGGGTGGGAGAATGTTTTGTTCTTAGCTGGGCACTGCGGCAAGCTGTGATCCAGCGCAAGTGAGGTCCTCCCTTTTCTGAGCTAATGTGTTAGCAGGGCCTTGTTTTGGTGCAAGGGAGCAACCCTATAGTTTGGTTAAGCCGAAAGGAGTTATCTAACTCCCAGCATTTCCCAGCCAGCCATATTTTACCTTTTGGCTTGGCTTCCTAGGTAAAATAACACTTCTGCTTTTTCTTGCCTTCCTTTCCTGCACAGAAGCCTCTGCAATGAATTAGGGCCAGGGGCAGGTGCAAGAGACTCCGAGGCAAATATCCTTCTGGAAATTGCTTTGGTTTGCAGTCCTATGCATATTTAGACTGAAAGAAAAGCCTTACAACTCCCAGCATTCCCCAGCCAGCATAGGAGTACAAGTTTTTTTCAGTCTCAGCCTAAGATTGCACCTTAAGTAAACGGTTTTCGCAAAATGCTATACAAGCACAATACTGCTGTTCACAAAATGCTTTCATTTAGGCATGCAGGCATCTGTATGAAAGAGACATTTCTGTAAGCCATTCAAACATCTAGAACGACCACAGGAAGGAAGCTGTGCTGGCTCCGACATGGATTTCCCCCATTATCTCACTCCCGTCCTTCCATAGGATTGCTCTACCTGGCGTAATCGTATATGCCACATTTTCCAAACAGAGGCCCTCCAGGTGTGTCGATTCCCTCCTTTATCATCCCCAGTCATCCAGTGGCCAGATTGACTACAGCTTGATGGAAATTGCAGTTTGGCATATCTGAAGAGACGTCTATATGTGGTTTACTCAGATCTGTCCCTAAGCAAGCAAGCGCGGCAAAAGTAACGTGAGAACGGGGCAAACGCGTGTCTCAGGGCAGGGGACACGGGACTGCGGTTGGCGGCGGCGCAGGCGCGCGCATGGAACCTTCGCACCGACCGCAGCCTCGCGCGGCTCTGTTCGAAGCCCCACTGCGAAGGAGGGGAAGGGGGGGAGGAGTGGGTACGCTGAGGCGCGTGCGCACTGCTACTTCCTTGTTTTCCTCACGTGACTGTAGCCACAGCCGCCTCCGGTGAAGGGGAGGAAAAAGGCGGGGGGGGTGTGGGGAAGAGAGAGCGGGGAAGCGGCACGCTGGTGAGTTGGTGCTTCGGGCGCGCGCGCCTCTCACACGAACTGTCAAGCGCGGGGGGGGGGGGCTGGTGCGCGTGCGCGTTCCCTCCCCCGTCGCGCGCACCCCCCCTCGCCTCCCTCCTTCCCTCCCTCGGGCTCGGAGGCGGCAGCGGCCGCAGGAACCTGCGCGGGAGCGCGCGGAGCGGCGGAGGGAGCGGGCGGGCGCTGCGCGGGGAGGAGCGCGCGTCGCGGGCCGGCAGAGGGACTCTCGCTTCCCCGGGAGCTGGACTTGCTGCGCCGTTCCTCGTCCTGTCCCCTCCGTTCCTCCCTCACTTCCTCCCCCCAACTCCGGCTTGGGGGGCTCAGCGGAGGGGGGCCGCCTGCGCAAGTTAGTAGTCCTCTGAGGAGAAAAGAGGGACGCCTGCCCCGTCTCGCTCGCTCGCTCGCTCGCTCTCTGGCGGGGCTGTGGGGCGGGGGACGGGGAGCGAGAAAGAGATCCCCTCACGCAGCATCCCGTGCCCCTCGGAGGAGCCTGGAAGCGGGGGGAGCTGTCGCCAGCGCGCCCTGCTGCCCCGGTCCTGGCTTGCGGGGAGTGGGGAGGAGAGGAATGAGAACTGGGGCGAGGGGCTCCCCTTTTCTCATCAGGTTTTCGTTGAGGGAGGTGTCAGGGGTGCGTGTTGGTGGGCGAGAGAGGACACCTCTCGCTCTCCTCCACTCTATGAAAAAGGGCTAAGAAAGTCCAGTTAGGGGCTTAGGAACCTTTCCTTTCCTTTCCAGTGTCGGTGGTGGTGGTGGTGGTGGTGGGGGGGGGGGACACCCTCTTGACTCTTGACTCCTGCTCTCCCAAGGCCATCCAGAAACAGTAGACGTGTTTCTACTTAGACATTTTTCTTTTTAAGAGGGGGGAAGAAACCTAGGGCGGGGGTGGAAATGATGAGAGGAATTCTGCAGGTTAAAAAGGGAAGGATCTGTGGTACTACAAAACACTCCCTCTGATTTTTTTTAGAGGGGGCACATTTCCGGGACTGGCCAAAGCAGTTAATAGCAAAGCCAAGGAGACTGTTAGACTCTTTTCCCCTTGATAATGAATTTGGACACGGTCTAAGTTAGGGACCACCCTCTGATAAGAAATATAGTCCTGAGGATGATCTGAAATAAGGATGCTTCCCGATGCAACTATGCTTGCACTATGAATCAGAAGGCACCATGCAGCTATTCCATGTTTTCTTCCTCAGTAGATGTTTTGGAAAACAAAAGGATGGAGGAAGTGATGGGAGGATTTCCAGTTCAAGATGTCACCTGGACCCTCTTGTAAAATTCCATGAACGAGGCAAGGCATGTGTATGATAAAGCTTGTCTGGAAGCCCCTACTGTCAGATAACTTCATTAGGATGGACTTTAGAGTAAACATGCATCAAGGATGCAAATGCCTCCTTTAATTTAAGAAGTGGATTCAGAGGGGCAAGGACAGGGGTAAGTGTGAGACAATTCCCCTTCCTAATGATCATGCTTAGTAAAGCCCTGAGGTGGTGGGACACCCTGTCCTGGCATACTTCTTCCCCTGAAAGGAGAGCTGGAGCCTTGTGTTGGTAGGGACAGAGGCAGCCCAGTAAAGACATCTCCCTCCCATTTTCAGATGGAGCAGTCTGTGATCTGAAGGGCATCTCCCTTCTCTGTTTTCATACAGGGTGACATTACGGTCAGGAGAAAAACAGTGCAGAAAGAAAAAAATTCTACTGCCACTCCTCCCTTGCTAAATCTTGTTGATGTTCTGCCTTGCAGTTAATACTCCCTGTTTTCTTGTCCTTCTGTCTTCTCTGTGATCATCACTCTCCGCTGGGCAGGATCATGCCGGACCAGATCACTGTGTCGGAGTTTATTGCTGAGACCACGGAGGATTATAACTCTCCAACCACATCCAGCTTTACCACCCGGCTACAGAACTGCAGGAATACAGTCACGCTGCTAGAAGAAGTAAATAAATATATGTTATTTCTGCTGTACATGTGTGAATACATGAGGGAACCAATTGATGTATATACTGTCTTGCCAACTATACTGTGCTCTTGGATTGTATTCAGTATTAATGCTTCTTTACATGGGCAGATTGTGAGGGTTCGGGTGTTAAATGAGGATGGATGTTCTTTCGATGGTGTCCTGCTAATTAGTGATGCATTAATGATGGCAGTAGTGGCAACAGTAGCAGGTTTGTTTGACGTTAAGATTATACAGAGCAAATGGTTATACCGAATGAATAAAGCTTGATGTGTCTTTGGCTGAGGTGAAGCAGTAGATAATTAATGGCATAGCAAGCGTTAGGGGGAAAAAACCTCTTTTTAGTGGGAAAACATAGTAAAGGGATAGATGAAGGGGTTGAAAGATTGCGCTAAAGTAAGCGAGGAAGATTATGCAAAATGATGCAGTGGCACTGGCTAGTTGGTGGTAGAACAGATCTTTTCAGCTCAGTTTGTTTCTTCCTTCTGAATGTTTGCAGTTGTATGTTTGCAGGGAATGTACATGTACAGTTCTTAATGTCTGCAGGATGTACATAATGTGGACTGAATTGTTAAGAACCTGAGATGCTCAGATTTGTGTTTCTCACGAATAGAATGCAGTTTTATGCAAGGAATCCCAGTAAGAGGGAACCAAATAATTTGATGTTGTCTCGTTGTGGTTCCATTCATGAAGGAAGTTGGATCTTCAGTGTTATGTTTTATATTCTCCAGTCGGCAGTATATCTTGCATTTGTTTTATTTTCCAAAGGCTTAATGAATTTTTGTAGGCAAAATTCATTTTCTCATTCTTCTGGACTAGAAGATCTTACTTCACATGCACTGGGATTGTACAGATCATGCTCTTGCTTTGCTGAACGTAAATTGACATTCTGAAACACTAGTTACAGTCTCCTCGTTAAAAGTATTCTTGTATATTAAAAAAACTTCAGTAGTATTGAATAGTTAGATAAAATAACTGGAGGATAAGACTAGTTATATGTGAATATGATGATTTTTCATGTTCTTTTTGAGGTATTGATTCAGGCTTGCAATTTGCCATTTTGCTGAGATGGGTGGTACTTGCTCCACCTAAGTGCTCCCACATCTAAAATTGCTCAAGTGATGCATATAATCAGTAAAGAACTACTGTCAGCTTCTTCTCAAGGCTTGAGGGAGTACTAAGATGAGGAACCACTTCTTCCAGCTGTGAGAGCAACTTTGCCTAAATAGTTGCTGGCCCTTTAAGTCAGAAAAGCACGTACACAGCTTGACATGGCAGTATCCAGTCTTGCATCCAGAACTGGCGGCCTTTATATCTCTGTCTTTCAACCAAAAGGAGTCAGAACTTTGCTTCCAGCCTCACAGGGGAAGATATCAATTCCTGCTATTTTTCCCAGTCATCACCTTGCCTGGGCCTGAAAGCAAGAATGTCAGCAGTGCAACAGGATAATTTTAAGAACTGATCTTCCCTGTCACCTTGTGTGGGTTCCAGGTAGGGAAGCAACAGGAATTTGACAATTCAGTGCTGTGCTGAACAAACACTTATTGCTGTTTTTATGCACTCCCCACAGAGGTTGCCACACTTCTAGAAATTTTAAATGAAAATACAGTAGCTTGGTAAAGGAAATGCTTTTGATAGATACAGTGTATTTGTAGTGCTCTGTGTTTTTGTTATGTAAGCCTGTATTCCAAATTTGTTTTTCTAAAGCAATTGTATTGAGCAGAGGAAGCTGATCACTAAACTGTCATAATGTATGAAATGTTTTCTGCTATGGTACTAAACACATTTACCTGGAAGTATGTTCTGTTGAAATAAGTTAGGAATACAAGTATGTAGCATGTATTTAGAAGTTGGGGAGCTTTTAGAGATGTAAGAGTGAAATGTTAATTTTGTGGGGAAACTACATGTTAGAGTATTCAAAATTTCTATTACTCTAAATAAAGGTCTAAGCCAATAGGAATCATCCAATTTTTCTTCTTTGCCTTTCCTAAAACGATTTAATCTCTTTCCTTTCTTATTTAATCATTGAATCAGCATTCTGTTTCTCAGCAAGATTTTGACAAAATATCAGTAACTTTTTTTCACAGTTTTTTATTCCTGCCAACAAGATATCAGAGAGATGTGCATTCCTCATTTTCATGTCATAACAAATAGAATAAATTCATAAGAGGGGGAAGGAGGTGATGGATTTCCTGGCTTTATTGATGATAGTTTTCTCCTCCTCTTCCAAGTAGCAAGTCAGATGGTTGATTATTCAGTTTTTATGCTGACATTGTATGAAGTTAAGTCTTGCTTTGATTGAGGAAAGAGGATGAGAGGTTGAAGCAGATGCAATTCCCCCATCCAACTCTATGACAAATTTTTAGAAGAGGGCTTTTTAATAAAGTATCTTTTTGAGAAAAGAAACATTGGAGATTAAGAGAGCCTGAAGAGCTCTTGTATAGCCAACTGAAAACATACTTGAAGAAAAGTACATGCAGTGTTAGCTATCCTTATAGTAGAATTAATATCACACACAACTGGGTCAGGAAAAGGTCACTACTGAACACTTCTGAGGTGTGTTAGGGAAGGGACAGCTTGCTTGTCTCTAAGGGGTAGGCAGTGAAATTTTAAAATTATGTTTTATGGTATATCCTGTTCCATCATCCCAAAATAGCTAGTACAAAATTTATTTATTTATTATTATTTATTTAGAGTATTTGTATGCCGTCCCATCACATAGCCTCAGGACGGCACACACAAATAAGAAAAATAAAATAAAACATAATACAAATAAAATCCAGATCCACCCTGGCTGCAGATTAAAACCTATATAGCTGATGTTAAAAGTTATTAAAATATTGTTGAAATAAAAAGGTCTTAGCCTGGTGCCGAAAAACAAATAACGACAGCACTAGGCAGAGCTCTCTGGGGAGCGCATTCCATAGGCGGGGCGCTACCGCAGAGAAAGCCCTCCTCCGGGTACTTTGGCTCCTACTGTCTTTCACGGAGGGTTCCTGGATGAGGGCCTCTGCTGCCGATCTCAGGGGGCGGGAGGGCAAATAATGGAAGAAGGCGTTCCTTTAGGTATCCAGGTCCAAAACCATTAAGGGCTTTATAGGTAATAACCAGCACCTTGAATTGAGCCCGGACTTTGATGGGAAGCCAGTGAAGCTGGTAGAGGACTGGGGTTATATGAGAGTAATGCCCAGTCCCCATCAGCAACCTGGCTGCTCTATTTTGCACCATCTGAAGTATCCAGACTGTCTTCAAGGGCAGCCCACGTAGAGTGCGTTACAGAAATCCAACCGGGAAGTAACCAATGCATGTGTCACTGTCGCTAGGCAGTCGTCCTCCAGGTAGGGACTCAGCTGATGGATTAACTGAAGCTGAAGGAAAGCACTCCTTGCCACCGCAGTCACCTGAGCTTCCAGGGACAGCTCTGGGTCTAGAAGCACTCCCAAGCTGCAGACCCTGTCCTTTAGAGGGAATGCAAAATTTGCACAAATGGTAAATTTATCATCATCAGAAGCAGAAGTTACCTAAAACCAATTTCTCTTGGTGCATATTTTGACATTGAATGTATTGATTATTGTATTGGGAGTGCTCATTCCTCAGTGCATAAAGTAGGTATTTGGCAAATTATCTTCTGGAGCATGATATGTTTTTTGCTTTTTTAAATATAAATGTAGTTCCAGCAGGAGGGCTTGCTATCTCTCTGTGTGTGTTTCAAGCTGCTTTCATGCCTCTAGGGAGAGGGTTTAGGGTGGAGGGGTTGGGATTATTATGTCTAAGGCTCTGGGTCTGTTGAAAGTATTACCATTGGATGATGGTGGTCCCTCCACTTTTGGCCTCAAAGACATTCTAGAGCAGTCTCAAGCATTCTGTAATACTGCCAGGCACTTCCAGAACAAAAGTTCACTGGGATTCCAGCGTTATAGTAGCTCAGTGAGGTGAGATACCCAGAGTAAGGGCTAATCTAGTTTTATTCCACAAGTTTTAGCTGGTAGTTTAAGGATGCTAACAAGGTGCTTAGACAGGTTTGTACAACCACTGGTTGCTGGATCCTTGCTTCTACTGGCTTATAATCATTAACAGAGAAGAAACAATTGGTTGGGCCAAGGAGTTGATCATAGTGAGGGGGAATGGGAATTCTTCATTCCGGAAGAAACCATTTCTGAGGCTGGAAGATCTTAATAAAATTTGGCCAGTAGAAAATGTCCCTTTCCTGGGTAGGGTTCTTGAGAGGTGTTGGCTAACCAGCTTCAGGCACTCTTGGATGAGAATGATTATCTGGAATCATTTCACCCAGGCTTCAGGCTTGCTTTAGGCATGGAAACAGATTTGGTCAACCTTTATGATGACCTATGCCATGAGTATGATCTTGCTGATACTCCAGAATCTTTCAGCAGGTTTTGATTACATTGATGATGACATCCTTCTAGGATTACTGTCTGAGGTAGAAGTGGGGGTACTGCTCTTACTTAGATGGTAGTGCTTGAGGAATATGATTCCTCCACCTCCACCCCCACCCCAGATTCCCCAGTATCACATTCCTTAAGGATCAGTTCTGTCCCCAGTACTTATATTTAAGATCTACATGAAACTGTGGAGTGCAATCATCTGGAATTTTGGACTGCATTGCCGTCAATATATGATCAGTAATACAGCTCTATGTTTCCTTTTCATCTTTATCTGGTGAGGTGGTGGTTGTTCTAAACTGGTACCTAGCTGTGAAAATGGACTAGAGGAAGGCTAAGTTTAATCTTAGGCAAATGGAAGTTTAATCCAGTTTAGTAAACTGCTAGCAAGTGGTTCTCTGTCCAGATGAAGGGTTTTCAACTTGTTCTGGTTTTACTCCTGTTGAAAAAGTGTGTCAATAGCTTGTGGAATCTCCTTGGAACCATCTTTGTCACTCAACACTCAAATAGCCTCAGTGGCACAGAGTGCCTTCTACCTGCTTTGGCTGGTGGTCCAGCTATGTCCCTAAATGGGACAGG